AGAATATGAAGTAAGATGAGGTGTTTATATTTACGGCGACTCTCGGTGCCACAAATTTGTTGAAAAGCCTGCATAAATATTTTTGGAGCATCTGCCAGATTTGCAGTTTTAACAAAAATATGCAACTTTCTAATGTTTCCCTGCGAGTTTGAAAATTAAAAAATTAGATTTTATAACACGAAAAAGATGATGTCGAAGACCGCTTGTCACTGCGATGCGTACTTTCACCGATATTAAAAATGGAGCTTCACTACAGTACGCCAAGATACAGTAACTTTTTTTGTGCACAATTTCATTTCATAAAATTGTAATAAGGGTTCATAGGCAACTAATACAGTAGTTGTCAGCGAATTGTCAATTTTTTTATTTTGTGTGTAACTTCACTCAGACTCAACAGAATTTGAGCGTTTAAGAGGCTGGGAGACACGCTTTAACCCTGTGAAATTGTTTTATTTCATATCGGCCACAGGCGTGGTAAAAATCTTAAAACAAATTTTTTTGGTGGGCAACGAATTGTCAATTTTTACATTTTGAGGCATAAGATCTCAATAAACCGGCATACAATGACTACAATGGAGAGTAATCAGTTGCTAGCAATTATAGAACAGCATAGAACTGGGTTCAGCCATTAGTATAATCTCCTTCGCTTTCTATAGGTCGGGCACTTGGGGGTGGACCATGTACAATATAATGTCAGCCTGGGGGCTTCCTAGGCCGAAACTATTTTATATTCCGGTTTTTTATGGGCGGTTACATCTTGCTACGATAGGGCAAGTCAAAAAATTACACCTAACGAGTTACACTTGCGCCTTGTTACCTCGAATGTGTTAATCATGGCCTTTTATACTGTTGGTCAGAGTATCAAAAATCAAAAATGACGCGCATGAAGATCGTTGGAGAAACCTTTTATATTTCAAAACAAACTACACTAAAAGACAAATATTCAGTGCCTTTCACATGTCAGTACCAGCACTCATGGAAGAGGTATGCAGAGGGAAATATTTGGATTTACATGAATTTTCACGTCGGGTTTGCAACACCCAGAAAAATTCTTATTTCTTCAAGCCTGCAACTTCCAAGATATTTTATTAGCATATTTAGAAATTTTTACAAGCATTACAAATATTAGTTAAACGCAGAAGACGCGCAATAAAATGATTAATATAGTCATCACCCTAGTGTGGCACAAGAATTAATTGGACCGTCAGAATCTCATCCGGAAATCTTAGGGCGTTCAGACAGGTAATGAAATAATTTGTATAATGTCGTTAGCTTGGCCGTAAGGAAAGTTTAAATCAACCTATGTCCCCTGTCGGCAAGAAAATTATCGATTTTTGGGGGTAACACAGGGTTTAGATGACCATAAATAATATTATCTGACGAATGCTTGACCCTTAGCTCCTCCAAGTTGTAATCTGGTGTAATTTTGTTTCACATAAGCAATATTCTTCCATTAAAAACCGGAATATCAAACAATTTCGGTCTCTGAGACCCCTAAGCTGTCATTATATTGTACATGGTCTACCCCCAAGTGCCCGACCCATAGAAGGCGAAGGAGGTCACACAAAGGGCAAAAACTGGTTCTATGCTGTTCTATAATTTCTAGCAACTGATTACTCTCCATTGTAGTCATTGTATGCTGGTTTATTGAGATCTTATACCTCGAAACGTAAAAATTGACAATTCGTTGTCCACCAAAAAAAATTGTTTTAAAATTTTTACCACGCCTGTGGCTGATATGAAGTAAAACAATTGCACAGGGTTAAAGCGTGTCTCCCAGCCTCTTAAACGCTCTTGGTCTCATCAAATTCTGTTGAGTCTGCGTAAAGTTACACTCGAAATAAAAAAATTGACAATTCGCTGACAACTACTGTATGTAAGGCTTTCATGAAATGACTGATGACTTACAAAGGGAGAATCCCAAGTGCGAAGCCCAGATTTTTTAAAATTTTCACACAGCATAGGCCACATATCAGTTCTTAAAAATCCTATCTCGCGCTTTGCAGGGGCAGTCCAGATAGCCAACGATCTTTTCGGCCGGGAGAGTACGCATAACGCGGAGAGAGATCGCAAAGAAAAACTGTGCCTGTATGACCGTATCTTTGCCAATTTCGTGCGGTTTTTTTCTGTGGGAACATTACTCTCCACGGTAGAAATGGGCTTACCAAAATTTGCAAAAAAATTACTTTTTTCCAACCTTCAAACCCAAGTTTCTGCAAAGCGCAGATTCTATCATATGTATGAAAAAACTACCTTAAATTTGTGCCAACCTACATCAAAAGCAAAGAACATAATGAAGCATTTAAAAAATTTTTCTGAAAAACAGACCCCAGCAAATAGACAACTGCTCAGGCGGATATTAATGTTATTAAGGCGAATCCAATTAATATCCCAAATTTAAAATGAAGCAAGGAAGATTTAGCGTAGATCTTTAATCCGCTTAACACCGTAAAAGAAAAGAAGCATCAACTTTACTGCTACGAACAAAGCACAAAGCGGAGGCCATGGAGGAAGTCTGAAAAATTTCATTGTGACATACAATGTTAATTCCCACATCAAAACAATTCAATGGCCAATTTTTTGACTTCCTTTCCTTTCTCTTTGCAAAGGGAATTCTTCCAAATGAAGTATTTGCAGGGGATGTCAACAGTATTAGGCAAAAACTTTAACGATCTAATACGAAGATTCGCTTTGCAACAGAGAAAGTGTAAACCGTAGTAATTTTTAAGGCCAGAAAGGCAAAAAATATCGATTATAACAGTCTGTCGGGAAAATAATGTGGTCCACTTCTATCAGTCTGTCGGGAAAATAATGGGCACTCTGTCGCATCATAAATCGCTCCGCCACCGAGAAAATGAATTGTGTCGCGACAAAACCAAATTTCGTTTTTCTTCAGCGACACGATTGGCGCCGCGACTTTGTCCTCATTATTTTCCCGACAGACTGAATAGAGGTATTTGTCAAGAGCGCTCATTATTTTCCCGACAGACTGATATGGCAACTTCCGACCAAAAAATCCAACAGTTTCTGATCGCAAGCTAGGAATCCTACAAATTTGGTAAACATTATGGAACACTTTTGAGCAGGCTTTCTTTCGATTATGTTTCCAAAAGGCTTCCTTTGTTGAACCCCGGGAAGCCAGACTATAAACAAATTTTTTCATGTCCTGAATGAACACTTTGAACTGTACTTCGAGTTGCACGGTCTTCGTAAATCCCAAGACTGTGAAACTCATCATTTCAGAGGCTTCCGAAGACTGTGCAACCCACCTTCTCCCCAAAATGATAAACACAATGCAAAAGTCCATTGAAGCCTCTGAAACCTTTAAAGAACCCGAAATTTATGAGGTAATCCTACCAAAAATCAAAGAGAGACCACGCACGTACAGCTAAAAGGGCAAAGGCTTAAGCAATTGTAAGAAATTAGTGAGGAATCACGGTGCGTGCGACGGATTACTATCTTGTTTTCTGCAGTCTCAGACATACCGTAATTCAGCATCTGGATTGTAGTTTAGTGCGCTTGGACAATGAGGTCTCAAATGATGCACGTAGGATTTTTTCGCATGCGGATTTATGGGCTCATCAAAAAATCGCCGGTTTGGATACGGACGTGTATACGGATATCCGGATATTTTGGCTAAAAATTAGGAGAAAATTAATAATTTCTATTTATTTATAAAAATGTCTGGCAAAGAGAACTGGAATATATAGTTGTGGGTTGCCAAAATATCGTCTGTTTCCTCCTCGACCCAATTTGGAAGGCATCCATTTCCGGAGAATGTACTGAAAATAATCCGCAACTTCCGATAAAATGCTAGACTAAATTAAATTTAAGAGGGGTGCCTTCTTTATGAAGACATTGAGCTACAGAATGCACTTGAATTTTTACAAAAAACAGCAAAAATCCCGATATTATACAAGATCTGATGACTAAAACAATTTTTTAATCGATTTTCGATGAAGAAATGCCAAAACTAGTCCGTGTTTGGTTTGTTTGGCAAAAATAATGCCTCAATGTGATTGTAACATCTTTTTTCGGTGTATTTTAGGTCTTTGCCATTGCACTCGTGCGACCATTGAGTCCCGCCACGAAAACAACATAATGCCAAAATTTGACGATCACGTCATGAAACGTCATGAAATAGCATCATTCTTGCGTGGAATTTTGCAAAGATTTGCTTGAAACGTGGACGAATTGCTGCCGGCATTCTGATCGTCATTTCTTCATTCTTTTGTTGTAGTAGACGGTCGACCTTTGGATGACGATTTTTTTTGTTTTTTTTTCGATGTTTTTGGATGGTTGATTGTTTCAACCATGCTTGCAGAAAGCAGTAGCATTCTAGAAACTTTCAGGAAAGCGTTTTTACACCAGAAACCTCTGATTTGCATCGTTTTTTGCGAAATTTGAGTTCTGTGTTACCTAAAATGTTCATGGATGTCAAAAATTCCGTGTCTTATCGTGTTTATTTTGATTTCTTACCCATTTGAATTACGTTAACATCACATTATCTTCCTTTTTTCAGTTGTACCCGATTTAAGAGCTGTCTTCATACCAGAGTTCAACTGTTATGATGAACGTTAACATCACCTACAAAGTGGGATAATATTGCCCAATTTACCTTCGAAAAGGACCAGCAAGTTTTGATATCGGGTAAGCTTGCTTTTTATTTGATTTTTTTCTGGGTTTAGATCGAAATTTTAAAATTTTTTGCCGGTATTTTACTAGACATCGGCAGAAGTCACATGGAGAAGAATCTTTTCTGGAAATTTGGGTTTCTTGCATGTTTTTGGTCTAGGAGCTACTTTAGCGGCCTTTCACAGATATTTTAGATCCCTTTTATCAGCTAAATTTTGAGTTTTGGGTATTCTTGACCTTGCACATGCTTTCATTTACCAATTTTCTTTGCTTCAGGTTAAAACTTGGACGTTTATGAACAATTCTTCAAAAATACGGATCTGCTCCCATCAGAAGGCTCATTAGACCACAAAGCTCCGGATAAAATGTTTACCCGCAATCTTGATCCGACTTCGACAGTGGTCGACGTCAACCTCCCTTTTCGTTGGGTTCCAGACACCTCAGACCTTCGGAGCATGGTAAGGTTTAGAATGGCCTTGTTTTACGTTATTTTAGGTATGAATAATGTAAAATTTGCTATTTTCTTTGATTGCAGAGCTCCCAATTTACTCTCTCCAAGTAATTCGTCTTCTTCTTGACCAGTATAGACTTCAGCGCCTCCGAACTTTCTGGACATAACAAAGCACGCTCAGAAGTATCCAATCCAAGTCGACTCGCCATCAGTTTTATGTGAGTTCCGTTTCATTTTTTTGCATTGTATATTTAGAAAGAACGTAGAATTTGATGAAATCACTTGAACAGAGGGTGCAGCTGGGTATTGTATTTTTTCTCGAGCTACGTCCTCTGTACCTATTGATTGTCCTTGTTTATGAGTTGTTGACCCATCTTATTTACAGATTTCTTCGCATCTGCACACCATCTTCACAGCAACTTCGCTTCGATTTCCCTTCTCCAACTTCAGTTCAAACATCGACCATTGTTCATCCATACAAAGGACACCTGACCTCGACAATTGACACAGCAATTGGACGGCATAATTCGGCAACAAATGGTATCGGTAATCGTTGTATTATACCTTGTGTTTGTCATTCATAAGATTTATTAGTTTTTTTTATTGTAAATGAGGTTAGTTGTAGTAATCGGAGTTTTTTGCTCTATGAAGGGTGGAGAGCCTTCATAAAAACGAGAAGTAGGACTCTATTTTCGTTGGGTGTCAATGTTGTGGTCACAGTAGGCAGGGAGTCGGGGGTCTCGGACCTGTTCGGGTCTTGGATGTCGGGAGGGTTGACCCCTTCTTACACTTGGGGCTAGTACCGGAGGTCGAGGGCGGGTAATCGGAGTACCCCGGGTATTCCGTTGACCCGGCGCTGGTGACCAACGGTGGAACGGGGGCTCTACTTTCACTAGTCCTTGTGAAAGTGCTGGGAAAAGTGGGAATGGACGTTGGGGTATCGGTTGTAACACCAAAAAAGTTAATAGTATATAGCGACTTGCCATCCCCTAAACCGAGCGGAGGCTGTTGATGTGGAAGAGCGATGGGGGGATTGGATGTTCAAGGCCTTTGGCCAAAGTTATAAACCCGACCTAACCCAGTGGTGACGGCTGCTTCGGATAAAGCAAGCTGGAGCCATCGATACGCCGCAGAGTTCGGTAATTGGTGGTGCCGAGACCTGGGGCGCTCGGCCGAAGTCCTCATTCCCCTCCGAGCAGCCATGAGCAGGGGCCATGTGGCTGGCACGAAGTTAAGGCGGGTCAACGAGGTCCCCAACGCGGGTAATGTAGCGAAAGCTCGCCTCTATACCGCGGTCGTGCGCTATGGTTCCGGCTGAAAACGTCCCACGGGCCAGCCACGGGTTATGAGGTCAAAAAACACTATTCTTTTTTCAGCTTCACTACGGTAAGTTTTCGGAGGATCGTGCGGGTAAGTTTTGAGCAGTACGTTCAAATTAGGGGGATGGCAAAGTTGCATAAAATATGCAGTTTTGTTTCTATGTTACAACCGATACTCCAGAAAGTCGTCCCACTTTTCCCAGCATTTTCGTACAACAAGGAGTAGTGAAAGAAGTGCCACTGTGAAGCTGATATAAGCCACGACCGGCAATACGGAAATACCGGCCGAAACGAGAAGTCCGCCGCTTGAACCGAGCGGAAACACCCCAGTATAAGTTAGGATAGGCCCTCCTTGGCATCCGTGGCTCCGACAGAAATCCAGACCATGGGGTCTACATCACAAAAAGTGATGTAGGCACTGGGGCCAACTTTGTTTGGCTTTAGGGGAGTGCTCCCTCCCTACTGTGGCCTCAACAACGACACCCAACGAAACTAGAGCCCTAGAATATTTTTACATTATGCCTCATATTATTATAAGGCATCATAGATTATTATCTCCGATTTACTATGACTAACTCAGTAGACTTTGGATGATGTTGTAATACTCTTAAATGTACTTTGCAGTTATTGTTAATTGTTATGTATGTACTACTATACATTTCGATATTGTTTATGCGATATATTACTGTGATTTGCTATATAACATTGTAAATTTTGTTTTTACGTTGTTATCTCTGCTCGCTCTATGAATTTCTCACACTCTTTTTTCGGAAAAAATAATTACATATTGGTTGTTGTACTTTCTGCGGATTTATGTGATATATACTTGCCTAGCGTGCAAAATTTAGAGCAAATCTGAGCGTTGCGTTTCGAGCATTCCCTCAAGAATATAAAAATTAAATTAGCTTTTCGACGCGTGTTCATTCACTTCCTTTATGAATTTGCATAAACAACCCTCCGAAAATGCGACGAGAAAAGGAAGGGAGCGCAGCTGCCGCCGAGACCTCCTCTCGCTCCCATTATATTCCTCATGCACTTCGCAAATAGACGCCAAGGTAGGGTGGAAAAGGGTGCCGAGGGATTTCCAACGTAATAACATGACCGGGCGTTCAATTCTTCCTTCGAGTTTGTTGTCTAAATTGATGACTTTGTATAAATTAAATTAGTAGAGGTCATAAAAATCGCGTGGGGAAGTAAAATGTGATTTTATTGGCATGTTTACCTTTTACGGGCCGATTAAAGAGTAGTTTGATGTGTTATAAAGTAGTGGACTGTTCGTGGAAAAGGTCAGTATTTGTTGTTTTAGTTGGGCGTTGAACTCCGAAATGGCGAAACTTGTCAATAACAATGATTTCAAAGGACGTAAGCGTTGATTTTTGCCCAAAACGAGCCATTTTAATCAAGAAATTTTATAACGAATAATTTTTTTTTATCACATACGGTTCGTTGTTGAGGGGGTTGACTCTGTTTTACGTCACAAAATTTTTAGTTTTTTCGCTAATTCAATTTTATTTTTTGTCTGCAGCAATTCCCGATCTCATTGCATTTCTTGATTTGAATGCCGACGGATTCAGATCGCCCGGGGGCGTAATTCGGATTAGTCATTAATTTGCGTATAAAATCGTGTAACTTTTTGTAGTCTTGCGGAGATTTTCCTTACATTCTCCATTGCAGAATCTTTCATTCTTATGAATACTGTCGCTCGAAGCCCGTTGCCAAAAAGAGTTGGCGTCAAAATTCGACCTGTTTCTCGACTCGACCATAGCTTTAATTTCTACACCTCGAAGTTGGATGGATATCTAAAAACTTTGGAGATTTTCAAGTTGACCATTCTGCGGAATGTTGACAGCCCTGAGCTGACTTTCTATGTCACCAAAATTGAGTCGATGAAGACGAGTGTTGCGGTTTTTGAGACAGCACAGACTGACGTTTTGTTCGACGAAGAGGCGCAGATTACCATGGATTTATATAAAGCAAAAATGATAGGCCATCTTGATCGTTTTATTCGAGGGTTTGACATCGTCCAGCGGCAAATGGAGCAGTCAATTGTGGATCAGTACTCGGTTTGCCGATTGGTGATTGAAAGAAGGAGACAAGAGGGAAACAGTGGAACGCTGGAATCGAAGCTTCAATTTTTAAAGGTAAGGAAAAACATCAAACTTTTGGTCTGCATAGAAAGTGTCACAAATGTGATGCTGCTTTCATTTTTTTCTTTAAAAATTTTGCAAACAAGTAGTGACAAAGGGCACTTACTTATGAATTCCTAAAGTTTTTAGCTTGCGCTTTGAGGCGCAGCGGATTTAATCAATTATTTTTGTCGAGGAAGATGGGCAAAATGCGGAAAACAGGCTTTGCCCTGTCAAAGTTTGTATAGAAATACCCGATTTTTTGCAGAAACTATAAAAAAACGGTCACTGTTTTGCCAATTTTTGACCTATGGCGGAATGATTTGTGTGGAAAACGTTGCCTTCTACGGGTAGAAATCATTTTGAATTTTTTGGCTAACGCCAAAAGGGGCCGGTTTCTGAAAGAAAAATCTCGGTTGTTTCTGCAAAGCGCGGACTAGGAATCTAACAAAAAAAAAAATAAAAAAAAGAATACGTATTGGCAAATTATGCTCTAATCGTAAGTTTTAAATTGTTTAGTGTCAGCAACGGCTTTGCAAGTCGAGCTTTTTCGCTGTGAGAAACCAACGTTCATACACGAAGACGTATTTTAAAAATAAACTTTCACGGCAACCGTATTTAAAAAAAACATGTTATTACACCTCTTTGGTGAATAATTAAGCCACTTACAACTGTTTTCAGCAACTCTCCGATCATTGCCAGCCTCTGATTTCCAAGTGGAATCAACAACAAGATTCGTTCGCCAAAGATATTACACTTGACTTTTTGACAACAACATTGTTTGAAGCAACAACTTTGATTCCAAGTTTTGAACAACTCATCAAAACTGTCGATGCTGTCGACGCCAAAAGGCGAAAAACCGCGCTCATGGTTGGATTAGTTGTAATAGATGTTGTGTATTTATATTCAAAATATTTTAAATAATTTTTGTACAATAAAAAAAATCGTATTTTAAAATTACGTGTGCAAAATTATTGGTTGCTAAATTTTGGGTATATTTTTGTAGAATTGTTGGCCACTAAAGAATTATTTTTTTTATATTTTTTGTTATCAAAAATTATAAGAAACGCGACATTTTGCTTCCTTATTCATTTTGTTGTTTTTCCAATTCGTTTCAAAAAAACTCAAATTTTCGACCTATTAAAATTATTCATTTTTTTCAAATTTTTCAAACCCGTATATTGTAAAAAAAATTTTTTGAAGACAAGACCAACCTATAATTTGCCAGTTTTAACCATTTTCAGAGCCAAGCCAACTCTAGGCCAGCTCTGTAGCTTACGTTAAAATTGACAGACAGGTAAATAAGTTCATGCTTTATACGGTACTTTTATACAACCTACAGGAAGTCCGAGTTGTCCCCAGCCCATGTTGTCACCACACCGAATTCCTTTTTCTAAAAAAATCGGAAATCCCCTCACTTATTAGGTGTATTTCCATTTGTTTATAAACTTTCTCGTTCCCCGTTTTCTTTTCTCGCGTTCCGTTGGGTCCTTCGGAGCGCGGGGGTATAGCTCAGTGGCAGAGCAATCGACTGCAGATCGATAGGTCCCCGGTTCAAATCCGGGTGCCCCCTAACAATTTTTGCATATTGTGAAAAATGGATCCATATTGTTTGTATTGATGTGGAAGGTCGTATTTAGGATTTTCAAGGAGTTTTCGGCCTTGCAATGCGTTTAATTTGCGTTTTTAAAGGGTTTTTTTACATTTTTTGAAAAAAGTTTAAAATTTTTATCATTTTGAATGTTGAGGCTACTTGAAATTCCAGATAACTTCGAAAAAGAGGATTTACGTAGTTTTCAATTTCCTTCCGAAAAAATTGTGCAAATGCCCAACAATGAAGTGTTTCTTCAAAAATCTGGTTACCTCTCCAAAGTCCCAATTTTTTCTCAACTTTTTTTTATTTTCCAACTTCCCCATCAATAATTTCATCAATAAAACCCTAGTTTATGACGACGTATTTTACAATTAGTATCACTGGAGAATTTTTGAAAATTTCCGAAAAATCAAATTTTTCTTCCGAAAAATTCGTTTACCTCAAATTTCCCAATTTCTCTACTCCGTCACAATATCTCGTATTTTTTAAATTTCCTTCTTATAGCTCCAATATTTGCTATTTTGGATATTGCGTATTTTACAATTGTCATCACGAAGTCTCAAAGGATTTCCAAAAAATCCGTTTTTCTTAGCAAAAATTCACTTTTGCCCTGCTCTAATTTTCCTGTCACTACTGGAATGGCTCATCTTACCCGTTATGATCTAAGAATGACCAACTATTTTCAATGCGTTTCGTATTTTACTTTTCTCGTCCAAAAATCATCAAAAATTCAAGTTTTGCTCCAAAAAATCCGTATACCTTGCCCAAATCTCCCAAATTTTCCTGTCATTACTCGAAACTTATGTATAATACCTCTGTGATCTAACAGATAAACAATTTTCAAGGCATTTCGTATTTTACCTTTCTCGTTCAAAAATCATCAAAAATCCAAGTTTTCCTCCAAAAAGTCCATATAGCTCTCCCAAATCTCCCAAATTTTCCTGTCATTACTCGTACAACTCATGTATAATACTTTCTCCATGTGATCAAGCAGCCCAACTATTTTCAATGCGTTTCGTATTTTACTTTTACCCTCCAAAAATCATCAAAAATCCAAGGTTTCCTCCAAAAAATCCGTATACCTTGCCCAAATCTCCCAAATCTTCCTGTCACTACCTCTCAACTTCCTCCCTGTCATCGCAGCGCTTCCATATTTCCCCACAACTACTTTCGTATTCCCGTACCAAGTCAATTTTCGTCCAGCGGGCGAAATAACTGGTTATATCGGTGCGTTTCGGCTTTCGGGGGGCGCCCTCGGAAAGAAAGAACGAAGCCTTGCAAGATGGTCCAAGAAGATGGAATGGAGATCCGAACCGGGTTGACAAAAGCGAGAGCCTGCCTCGTCTATTTTCATTTCTGGGGCCGGATCTCTTTTCGTTTCGCCCCTCTTTTTTTGCGGCGCTTTTCGACGGGCGGCGCCGAGGTCAAGCTAATTTCATTTACTCCCCCCTTCGGCCTAATTTTGGACGTGGGAAGAAACTTGAGAGCCCTGAGGGAGAAAACAATGGGGAATTATATTTGCATGGGTGAAACCTTGGCAATATAATTATTGCGAGTTGTGGCCATTTTTGGGGTAAAAAGATTTAAAAAAATAAACCCCTGTATAACGAATCGCCAAGGGCCAAAAATTTGTTTGTTATAGAGGGTTTTTCAACGTATGGAGGTTCGTTTTGGCCTTACATTGACTCCTAGGGCCTCTGATATTTTTTCTCATAGACTAATTTACTTTTACATTTGCAAGGTAGAAAGCTTGGCAATGTAATTATTGCGAGTTGTGGCCATTTTTGAGGTCAAAAGATTTAAAAAATAACCCTCTGTGTAATGAATCGGGTAGAACCAAAAAATTTATTTGTTTTAGGGGGATTTTTCAATATACGGAGGTTCGGTTTGGCGTTGAATCGATTCTTGGGACCTCAGATATTTTTTCTCATAGACTAATTTACTTTTACATTTGCAAGGTAGAAAGCTTGGCAATGTAATTATTGTGAGTTGTGGCCATTTTTTGGGGCAAAATGATTTAAAAAATAAACTTCTGTATAACGATTCGAAGATAACAAAAAAAATTGTTTGTTATAGATGGGTTTTTCATTGTACAGAGGTTCGTTTTGGCCTTCAATTGACTCCCAGGACCTTTGAAATTTTTTGCCATAGACAGGTCTCATTGTAGTAGAGTTAACAGGACATTTACACAGAGTTTCATTGCTGAAATTTGCAAAAAATCGATTCATTTTCTCTGTAAAATACGCCTTCTTGGCTCTTGAATTTTTTTTAAATACTTTTTCAAAGTAAAACTACGGAAGGGGCGTCGTATTTTACCTATTTTTCTAAAATAAGATATTTTGCTAGTTATAAATTCGTATTTGCAAAAAAAAGCCTGTCACATAGTACGAAAAATACACTTCGTATTTTGGAGATTGACGGCTGTTTTTATCGAAACTTTAATCGTTTAAAAAATGAATCCTTTGCCAGAGCTTTCAAAACATTTAGCGTTTTCTTTGGCTATTTCCAAACGTTAAATCGTCTTAAAAAAATTTTTTTCCACTTCTATATCAACGCTTCTCTCATAAAAACCCTTCTAGCACCCTCATAACGAACATACATATTACCTGTTGCCGATCCCATTTGGATAATTTATGACTCATTTAAATATGTTTCGCCATTTGATAGTATGGCCTGAGGGCTTTAAAATTATTAGAAAAAAATTGTAATTTAGAAATCATAATATATGTAGTAAGATCCTCTGTAAAACGGACCATAACTGACCAAAAAATTTAATTAATTTGTTATAGAGAGGTTCGTTGTATACAGTTTCATTCCGACCTAAAATAAGCCCTTGTGACTTCTGCAATTGTTTGTTATAAAAGGGGTTTGTTGTATCCAAAATTTGTTGTACAAGGGTTTCACTGCAATTGCCTTTTATTTTATTTTCTCAACATCTTCTTCTGAAGACGTTTTAGGCAAAAAGAATGGACGGTGGCGACAAAATTCAATTATTGCCCAATTTTCCGCCACTTTCTTTGTGTCCCATAGTTTCAACGCATTTTGGAAAGCCCTTTTTGTTGCCCTTTTCTCGAGTTTCAATTCGTATTCTGCACAAAGAACGCGATTTTTCGATAACAGTATAAACCTGAGGGGCTTTTTTTTTCTCAGCTCTTTCTCCTTATTTTTCATCGTCTCTAGCTTGCCAAAATTGGTGAATATCTTGGATTTTCTTACACTAGAACATACGCTGAAATTTTCAGGAGTTGTTTTCCGTCCTAGGTATTATAGATTATCAGTCTGTCGGGAAAAAATGAGAATAATGTCGCTGCGCCGACCGTGTCGCTGAAGTGAAAAGAAATGCGATTTTGCCGCGAAACAACTTATTTTCTCGGCGGCGATGCGATTTTCGGCAGAATGCTCATTATTTTCTCGACATACAGTTACATGTGGTAGTTTGAAGAATATGTCAGCGTAGTGCCTCTTGCATGTTCTCGAAAAATTCCGTGGCCTCTCCTTCCCTTTTTCGCTACTTATTTTCTGGCTTGAGAATGTCATTGAATATATTGGCCCTGGCAGCAGATATTAGTTAAGATTTTTAAGGAATCCATATGCTTACTGTACGCCATTTATTCGACCGGGATTTGCGGAGAATCTGAGCGTCGCATTTCGCTTATTTTTTTGTTTGATTCCCTAAACCACCTTTCCCACCTTTCCCAGTTACTGTTGCATTCCGCCGGCAGATATCGTTCAATATCTTGGCTGTTTTTGAAAACCGAGGGCTAAAACTTTAAGGAATTATAACGCAGCCTAGGCAGGATCACCACCCAAAATTTGACAACGTTTTGGCCGCTGCAAGTTAAGGATTTTCTACAGATATTAACTGTACATTTTCTCTAGTCTCTCATCTGCAAATACCCCGAAATATCTTGGCTCTCTTTGAAACGCTAGACCTAAAATTTTCACGACTTAAAATATGTCCTTGTCAGAGTATATCAGCAAAATTTCAAGAAAATCTGAAGCTTCCTTCTACTTTAAAATCCCCTCCGATCTTCTCCTTACCCTTTACTTCCCAACTTTTTCCCTTGTCCACACATGTTTCAGATTATGTTTCTTTTCAAATTTTATTAAATCTCCCCTTCCCATCTCACTCCATTTTCTCCGCAAACTTTTTTTTCGAAATCTTCGAAATTTTTTTTCAAACCTTTTTTCGAAAAAAAAATTTTTGCGCGTAAGTCGAAAAATGCCCTTCGATCTGTAATGTTGATCGGGGTGTTTGGAGAAGTTGATCTGGCGGATTATTTTCTGGTCTTTTAAACCCCGTTTAGGCTGTTTTTGTAAGGATTTTTGATGTATAGTTCAGTATATTATACTTGATTTTTAAATTCAATTTTTTTTAAAACTGTCAAAAAAATAATTGTCAGTGGTTGCTATTTGTTTCAAAATAACTTTTATTGAAATTTCAGCCCTCTATTTTTCCAGAAACATTCAAAAATCGAGCTAATTCGCCCTTTTGTCCGGCAATTTCACGCTTGGATTGCGTCGAATGACCAGTAATTTGAAATACGATACAATTCCGATAATTAGCGAAAATAAGCAAGCTAATAGTCGAAAAGACGGTCTACTGGGAGATGTCACCTGCTGGAATATCCTGTAATTCTTTTGGGGATAATTTTGTAAAAAAAATTATTTTATTTTTGCATTGTGCGGAAACAAAAAAGTAAAATATTTGGTGGTAAGGTGCGGTTGAATAGGATATTTTGAGTTGTAGAACAGCGAATTTTACTTAAAATTTTGTCTACAGTTTTTTGATTTTGTATCGCACTGTGCAACGCATTTTTTGGCTTACAATTTTAATTGCACTGTGCAGAAATAAATTTTTTTAAAATTTTAAGTGATCTCTGTAGCAAGAGAAAAAAAAATTTTTGCACGGCAAAAACAAGAATTGTCGTATGAAATAAAAACATTTTGAACACATTCCTGCGACATTTAGAACCTTTTTAAAACTAAAATTTTTACTGCACTGTGCAAAAAATTTTTTTTCAAAAAGCGCCTCTGCACTGTGCAAAAAGCTGAACAGTACCTCAAAATGATAATTTTTTTATCTCGAGCTGGCCAGGAACGTCATATGACCTTTTGCCTGGTCATATGACTTATCTGACGATGATGTTCGTATTTTACCCTAAAATTCACACTGCACTGTGCAAAAAAAATTTTCTCTCAAAAAAACCCTTCTGCACTGTGCAAAATGTTGAGCGATGACCCATAGTGACCATTTTTGTATCTGAAGCTGGCCAGGAACGTCATATGACTAGACAAAAGGTCATATGACGTATCTGCCGATCAGGTTCGTATTTTACCCTGAAATTCCTACTGCACTGTGCAAAAAAACTTCCTCTCAAAAAAACCCTCTCTGCACTGTGCAAGACCTTAAGCAGTGACTCATAATGACCTCTTGGTCCCTCCAACTGACCAACTCCCCTAATCCTATGACCCCTCGTCATTACAATTGTAATCAATTTGCAGACCTTTTCGATAATCCCGGTGCTGATTCCGAGACGGATTGTTGGGCGAATTTGATGAGATAGGGGTGTTTGGGGGATGGAACAGAAGAAAGGAACGCAAAAAAAAAGAATAGTGCGACCTTCAAATTGGGCCGTTCGGGCCGTCCATTTCGCCCCACATCTCCCTGCTTCCAGCCCGAGCCTCGCTATCTTATTCATACTCCATCTTTTGAGTAACTCTTCTTCTTCCTTTGCCCATTTTTCCACAAAGAACGAAATTCCCCCCGTCTCCTCACCATTAAAATTCGACCCCAATGAGACACGATTCGTCGGGTTTGGGTGTGGGTTCAGGCGTAGGGGTCGAAATTATGGCCGCATTTTTGGAGACGGTGGAATTTCGGGTGCACTTTGGAAAAAGTGTCATAACTTTTTTTGTGGACTTGTTATAGGAAAAGGGTTAATTAAAGTTTGTTCACACTGTAATCGGCCCTGTTTTTCTGTGTATTTTACCTTACGATATATTTATATCTATTGCTTTGTCAAGATCAACATTTTTTGGACCAAAAATCTAAAAAAATCGAAAAAATCGCTTGTTTTCGCTGTAATTTGGGGTTGTAAAAAATTATAGCCCTTTTAATCGATGGTAAATAACATCTACTTTGCAGTAAGTACTGTATTTTTTTATTAAAAACACGATTTTTTAACATTATTTTGGCAAATTTAGTCATCAGATGGTCATGGATAAGATTGTTTGATTTTTATGGAGCCACCAGGAACTCATTGGATTTTTTTCGTGATTTTAGTAAAATACACTGTGAATTTTCATATACAAACAGAAATTTTTTGATATCTGCATTTTTTCGACTGAAAATTTTGAATTGAATTTTTTTGTCTAAAATTTTAGGTCGCATGAAATTAAGCCGTATTTTACCCAAAATATTGCGTCTTTGAATATTCAAATTAGACCCCAAATATTTTCCCTTGCATTCCATTCAATTTGCACCGGAGAGTTTTGCCGCTTTCCGGGGGTTTTGTGAGTCTCGCGCTCTCGCTGACTCACATTTCCACCGCCAAATAATTTGCGCGCTTTGTTTCGTCCCTTCGCTCCTCTTCCTTTTGCCCACTTTAGCCCTGAGCAGCTGACCGGTCCACACACAATAAACAGAAGGCTGTCCAAAAACGGAAATTGGAGGACGGGGATGAAAGAGGTCAATCCGATTAAGGTTTTAGTTTGTCATTGGCCGGGATCGCGTTACGCCGGGATGTTTTGGTCATAGCGAAAACACGAATAGAAGAATGGGGAAACGGGTGATGTTTTTCGAAATATTACAGCTTGTATTTTATTCTAGAACAGAATTGACCATTATTTTTCAATTCATTTTCAAATTATATTATACTTGATATTTGATGTTAGATATGTTTATAACTTTTCAAAAAAGGCCTATTCTTTATTTTGTATGGGCTCTAGACTCCAGAAATAACCTCGAAATTTTAACCCGACTACCAATTACGATTTTATTTCGTAAAAATTTGCATAAATTCCAAAATTTCTTAAAAAATCATCTTATTTTTACAAATTTTTCTCAAAAACTTCTTTCTTTTAGCGTCATATATATTTACGTTTCTCAAAAAAAAGGAAAGCCTTATCGATAAAATCAAACGCTAAAGTTCGCCGTCGCACCCGTCCTCTATCGATGACATTTCATCTTTTGTTATTCATCTTCCGACAAAAGACAAAGGAAAATATTCGCAACATATATCGAACCTTTTATATTTCCAACTTCTACAGTATTTTTGCTCTTTACTTTTCATTTTCTTTCAATTTCCAATCTTTGTAATCAATGATAACGGTTCTGCAGGCTGCGGGATATTTTATACGATGAAACTTGGATTTTGATGTCTAAAAGAAGGTAAATTTAATGCATCAAAAGTTCGAGAGTCGTATTTTACGTACAAGAACAATGTCTCTTCCAGAAACTATTCAAATATGCAAAGAATTCGTTGAAATATTGTAATGACCTTGGGCGCAGCTCGCGCGCCGCTTATTATTCTTTTTTATTCGTTTTGCTCGTTTCGTTGACCAACAAACAATATTTAGGAGACGTTAATCTCGGTTAAACAAATATTTGCATACGTTTTTGCGGGGATTTTCATATTTTTGCGGGAGAACCGTCCCTTCTATGTTGTACTCGATGAGAGCCCCGAAGAAAAGGTTTCCTCATTTTTCAAGGGCTTTTGGGTACAATTTTGATGGAAGTAATCGTAAAAGAATGGGCTAGGAGTATTTTTGAAAATGTATTTGGATTCATTTGTCTTGTATTTTGGTGCTTTAGAGAGCTTCTTAGAATTAGGTGACCTACTATAATATAATTTGATTTTTCTAACGGTTTACGGACATTTTAGCGGAAGAATTATATTCCCTTTGCAGGACAGTTTATTTCCCCTGATCTGAACCCCTTTTTCTTTTGGTTACAATCGTTTTCCCGCGAGACACCGGACATAATGCTAATTCGCCTCCATCCTCAGTATTATTCATGATTTCTTTGCAGTTCCGTTTGTCGGAATGACGGACCTGGCCGAGAGTTTGCTCCAGGACCTCGCAATCCACGACAAGAAACCACATGTTAGTGTTGATTCGGCCTCGGAGGCATCACATTCAGGGAGTGGAAGTCGACCTTCATCTAGTCAAAAGGCGCATTCGATAGGCTCGTCTTCGACCGCAACTCAAGCCAATGTGACTAAAGTGAGTTTGTTTTTGTGGCTTTGTTGTTTTGCTTTTAGGAGAAGCGAGTTGGAAGAGGAATTTGAGAGGTTTCTTTAGCTAGTCTTTGTATCTCAAGGATAATGTCATAAACAATATTCTGATGAGGTATTTGACCAGGACCCCTTTTTATTATAATTTTTGAACGGGGTAGATACGATTTATACTTGTTTAAGTGAAGAAAATCCTTAAAATCCAACTTAAAATCCATTTTCTATATCAGCCGTACCTAGTGCAATATATTGATGTCAAAAACCGCTCTAATTCCGCAATTTTCAGGTCTACTATCATGTGGACGATGAGCCCATTGCATATATGACGGAAGTGCGTGTCCCATCCGATCGGATAACTCTTGGCGACTTCAAAAGAGTCCTCAACAGGTCCAACTTCAAATATTATTGTAAAGCCGTGGATCCGGCGGTTGGAGCGTACGTTTTTCTTTTATATTTTCTTCTAAATTTAGTGGCCAAACCTTCTATTCCTTCATAACGACGTTTTAGTGAGGTGAAATGCGAGATTCGAGACGATGATCATGTTCTGCAAAGGTCCTCCAATGGCCATTTCGAGTTGTTTTTGTTGACGACGGAGGGTTCCACTCATTCCGATGGTGGGTCCACGACGTTCTCAAAGCCCTACAGACATGGTGTGCCTGGTCCAGCGCCGAATTATCCCTCTAGCAGCAGTCATTTGTACAGGCCGAAGAATTACTATGAATTTGGTGAGTTTTTTTGAATTTTCATTGTGGAAAAGGGGAAAATATTGGGAATGATGGTGATTAAAAGGTGTAAAAAGGTGTGGGATTTTATTCAGAAGGCATTTTATATCTAGATTTGGCGAAAAAATTTGAGATTTTTATATTTTTATGTGGCTTTATACTTAAAATAAGGTAAAATATCGGTTTTTATCGATATTTTTGGTTAAATTCCGTTTGAATTGGATGAAATAAGGTGTAAAATACGATATGCTGCGATTTGTTGTCTGGTTGAACCCTAAAAAAACTGAAATACGGTACCAAAAATTAATTGGACTTGATTCCCCTCACCTGCTGATTAGCCGGCTTGGAGATCGTGATTAATCCCCCTTTTAACAAGTGGTTTCTCTCTGCTTCCCTTCAAGGCACATCCGGAATCAATCACCCGCACCGGCGTGATTGATATCGCAGACCTTGAGGCACTTTTTCCCCACCGGCCGTTCGACAATTGGCCCCCGAAAAAGAAACAAAGAAAATCTGTGCCCGGAGGGCCTTTGATCAGTGCAAAGGTGAAATTAATTAGCCAGTTGGGCTACGGCCCCCTTCGGATAAAGATGTTTTTTTGAAGCCTAGTTGGGGATTTTATTTGGAGGGGTTTTGGATATTATAGTAGGTCAGCAGGTGGAATTTGGCGTTTGAACGGGGATTTAGGTAATTTTATGGTGTGAAAGGAATTTTTGTGAGCTTTTGAGAGCCCTGGCCTTGATTTGCGATAAAAATTTTTGGTATTTGAGAGAATTTTTGGATATTATACTTGGTCAAGGTATAAATTTTGTGCTGGAAATAGGATCAAAGTATAATATTATTGTAGAGAATGAGTTTTTATGGGCTTTTCAGAGTTGATTTTTCTATATGAGTGCAGATTTTTGGACTTGAGATTAATTTTTGGATATTATATTATACTAGATTAGCAGGTTTTTTTTGATTGAAAATTTGAGCTTTGGTCATCTCTTTTGTCATATTGAATATTTTGATTACCTTTTCGAATGATTAGAATACTTGTGACATTTAAATTTATTACTTTTCAGCGAATTTTGCCCTTATTTTAGGTAAATTCTTTAATTTTTTCCTTAAATTTCCCTCGACCAAAAGTTTAACGGCTCTTAAAATATCCCAAATGGCGTTATCTCTCTTCAAACTGGCGTATATATATAAAAATGCAATAAAAAGTTTTGGGATTTCCCGGATTTTGGAATGCTTTTTATCCGTTCCCCGGGCCCTCAGGCACAAGCCGAAAAAACAAGAAAAGTTATGGGTTTTTATAACGTTTTATTGTTTGAGGATTTATGTCATACAAATCTTTCAAAAACGAGCATTTCAAAGCCTTCTCGGAGAATGTTTTTTGAGGACTAAATTTTTTGATTTTTTAAGCAGCTTTATGCGATTTTTTGGCGGATTTGATTATAAATTTCGTAAAATAGGAGGCTGCAATTTTTTTAAAGGCTTTTTTGAGTTGTAAAATACGAATTTTGTTATTATTTGTCTTGAAAAAAATATATTTTTTTGCGGTAAAACTGAATTTTTTAAAAGTTTTTACGTCTAAAATACGATTATTAAGCAATTTTTTGAAATCTACGCAACTTTTAAAAGTGTAAAATACGATGTTGATTATTTGTTTTTTTTTCTCGAGAAATTTTTTTTGGATTAAAAAAAATTTTTTTTGCAATATTAAGGTTACGTTAAGTCCCCAAAAATCACCTCAAATGTCTCAAAAAGACAACAATTTCCTGGCGAAGCTGAGCCGAATCCGCTTCCTGGCCGAGCGCCCCACCTCCACCAGCTTTACGTTCGGCAAAGCCCCGAAGCGCTCCGATTCGGATAATTCGGCCAAAACTTTACTCCCCCCGAAAACTTCATGGCTCCCGAAACAGGTGCACAACACCAAATCGGCGCAGGAATTGCCGTCGTTGCGGTCGCTGAAGTGGCCCACGTCGCTGCTGAAACGCCTCGGCTCCAAAAATGAATGCATCCGAATGGAGACAATGTCCGATGTCGGCGTCCCGAAATTACATCGGACTAAACATGAGACAGTGTTGAAAGTGGAACAGAGTAGGGGAAATGAAGAGAACGGGAGATTTTTGGGGATTTTTTGGGGAAAAATGTTATTTTAGGTATGAAAATTGGGAAAATCGAAATTTTTAGGTCTAAAAACGTTTAATATGTTGATTTTCAAGGGTGAAAAATAAGGTAATGATGATTTGTATATATAAAAATGCCGGTGGCAGATATTTTTTGAGAGAAAAGTCAAGAAATTTGAGGATTTTTGGGGAAAAACTGAAAAATTTCAAAAATTTTTGAAAAATAGAAAGATTTATTTTGAAAATGACTCGAAAAATAACTCAAAAATATTTCAGGCTCCTACCGACGACCCTTTGAAGAATCGACAGTGTATACGGAGTCAGAAGCACGCGTATATTCCGATGACGAATCGCAGTAAGTGTAGACTTTGAGATTTTTTGAAATTTTGGGTTGAAAAAGAGATTGGATGGACTAAAAATGGATTATAATAGACAAAGAGAAGTGTAAATTATATTATAAACGTCTTTTTTGGGGAAAAATTTTAGCTAAAAATATTGTACTAGACAAAAATTTCATTTTTTGGTGATTTTTGAAATTTTTTTTGAATTTTGGTGGTAAGTATTGGTAAAAATTGATGGTATTTGAGTTGATTAAGTGGTTTATGGTCTGTGAAATCTTTTTTTGGGCTTTTGACATGCTAAAATTTTGCTTTACAACTAGATTTTTTAAATTTTTTACCTAAAAATTGATGTATTTCAAAAAAATTTTTTTTTTGAATTATGATTTTGGGTTCGATTTAAAAACGCAATCTGTCGTCCTAAACCCCCTCTCTCTCGCCTTTTCCCTTCCCTTTCACCCCTCCAAATTGGTCCTCGAAGCCGTCTTGGCCCCGTATTTCATTGTCCTCGTGTCCCTTCTTCTCCCCTGCGATTGATGGATGACACTTTTTTCTGGAGTCGTTTTGCGCGCAAGAAGATGTTTCGGCCCGCTCATGAGCACACATTTTCCAAATTCCGGGCATTTTTATTCCTAATTTCTGAAAATATTTGAGTATTTTTCTATTTTTGGCTATAAAATTGAAGCTTTTTTTTGGAAAATTTTGGTATTAGATGAAGATGCTTGATTATCTGTCGGATTCGGAGGATGACAGACCGTCAAGTCCGTCTTGTATAAGCAGCACCAACTGGAGCAATAGATTAGCGAGATCCGACCCGGAGTAAGGGATTTTTGGGATTTTTTTAGAGGTTTTTGATGACTAGACCAAATTTTGGGTGGATTTTTGGTGGTAGAAAAGAAGAATAAGGTGTGTTAGAGTGTAAAATATTGATGAAATAATGCAGTTTTAAAATACGCCTATCCTTTATGTCTTTTTATTTGTAAAACCCGGAGTTTAACTCGACTTTAGCGAATTTTTGAGGAGTTTTTGAAGATTCGAAGTGATTTTTATACAATTTTGGTGCTAGAAAAGTACAGCGAAGTGTGATAAAGGGGCAGGAAGTGATTTATCGATGTCATTTTAAAATACGTCGACACTACTTGTGTGTTTTATGAAACGGGCAGTACAGTGGCGGACCAGATCCAGTAGCAAAAAACGTACCATTTTGCATCCGGGAAGTATAAAAAATGCAGCAAAATACCTCCCTTTCCAAGTGGAAAGACTCTTATTTGAAAGGGATGTCCGCTATTTTTGTGAGACGCTTTTTAAAACGGAGTTTTTTAGTTGGAAAGGGAGGTATTTTGCTGCGCTTTTGATACTTCCCGGATGCAAAACGGTACGCTTTTTGCCACTGGATCAGGTACACCACTGTACTGCCCGTTTCATAAGAAACACAAGTTACACATCGTTGACCTATTTTAGAATGACATTGCTAAATCACTTCCTACCCCTTTATCACACATTGCTGTACTTTTCTAGCCCCAAAATTGTATAAAAATCACTTCAAATCTTCAAAAACTCCTCAAAAATTCGCTAAAGTCGAGTTAAACTCTGGGTTTTACAAATAAAAAGATATGTTGGGCGTATTTTAAAATTCCATTATTTTATCAATAGCTGACACTCTGTATGCTGAATTTTGAGGAAAAATTGATTTTTTGTTGTTTGAAAGTGAAGTTAAGCGATGAAAATGTGTTGACAGTGGGTTAAAAGGTCTAATAGTAAAGTATGCGGCGTTTACAGACGGTAAAAAATAAAAAAAATTTTTTAGAATTTTTTAGCCTTACCGTAGCCTTTTCATTTGCCGATTAAAGCGTTGAAAAAGTGCTGAAAATGTTATGAAAAGTGATGTAAAATACGACATCTCTCGAGGTCCATTTAGAAGGATACTCAAATTAATGATACAATAATTTCGCCATAAAATAAAGAAAAAATCAAAAATTTTCAGTTTTTTCCTCAACTTTTTGAAAAAATTATAAAAACTTTTCGGTTTTAGCGTTTCCACCTCCACCGATAATGTCACGTCGGTCTCGCGCCAGCCCCACAACTACTACCGACGCCGGCAACATCGCCGGTTCCGACGCCAACCCTCGCGCGCATCCACAATGTCCTCCATGACCGAGACCTCAATGTCGCTTCAAGTTATGCACGTCCGTCTCAACATGGACACGGTGAAATTCCTCGGAATTACAGTGGTGGGACAGTCCAGTGCCAGGGGAGACAATGGGATTTATGTGGCGCATGTGATGCCCGGAGGCGCTGTTGCTTTGGACGGAAGAATCGAAATTGGCGACATGATTTTGGAGGTGAATGATGTGTCACTGGAGAAAATGACAAATGATGAGGCCGTGGAATTCCTCAGAGAAGCTGTTACGACCAAAGGGTAAAGATTTTTGCGGCGGATTTGGGGACTTTTGAAGTTTGGTAGGGCGCAGCTCGCGGAGGGAAAAATGGATATTATAGGCGCAAATTTTATAAAAAATGTTGTAGATTGAGCTGGAGTAGTTTGAGAATGAAATTTATTGTTTGTTTTGTCGAAATTTGAGGATTTTTGCCAGTACCCAGGGCGCAGCTCGCCAAGGTAAAAATCGGGATTTTGAAAGATGAAAGGGTCAGGTTTAGATGAAATATAGTTAAATTGAAAGATTATGGCGATTTATTAGCCATTTTTTTTAAATTCTGATCTATTCCTAGGGCGCAGCTCGCCAAATAAAAATCGGTATTTTGAAAGATAAAAGGGTCAGAGTTACATGAAATGGGGTAAAATTGAAAGATTATGACCATTGATTAGCCATTTTTTAAAATTATGATCTATGCCTAGGGCGCAGCTCGCCAAATAAAAAAGTGATTTTTGGCGTTTTTTAATTTTATTTTTTTTGAATTTTTGGACTTTCTATTTGTTTGTCTAACGTTTTACCAACATTTCAGCCCCATCAAGCTTACAGTCGCGAAATGCGTGGACTCGAACCGCGCCAATTTCCTGGTCTCGTCCCGAGAACCGGTCCGCCCAATCGACACCCGCGCCTGGGTCCAACACACCAACGCCATGATCGGAATGCCGATGAACTCGATCCCCGAATCCGCGGAAGAGGCCCCAACCCCGATTCCCGGCCAATACCCCCAAAACAACTCGCACCCGGTGTTCTGTCGCCCCCAATCCAGTTCCACGGCCACTTCGAACGGAAGTGGCGGCCCCAAAAATACGGTGGTTGGAATACCGGGCGCCTACTTTGCCCTCCCACCGAGGCTGGACTTGTCCACGGACAAGAAGATTGTCGCCAAAGCAATGGCAATGCCGAACTCGGGTCTGGAAGTGCGGAATAGAACTTGGCTCAAAATCCCCGTGCCGATGAGCTTTTTAGGTAAGGAAAATGGAGATTTGGAATGTATTTGAGGTCTGGTTTAAGGGAAAAATGTTTTAGGAAGTATTGCGAAGTTTTGAAATTTAGTCAGGGCGCAGCTCGCGAAAAATTTTTGGCGATTTTATGGGTTTTGTTGATCGGAAATAAAAATTTTTGATGAGAAAGAGATAGAAAAGTAATTTAAGGGTTTTTTAGAATGGCTATGACTATTTTTTTGATTTTATTTAGCAACTTTTGTCCTTTTTGTTACCTAAAATTTTGAAATTTTAGGCTCCGCTCTTCTCGATTGGATCCACGAACACGTGGAAGGCATTCGCGACCGAAAAGAAGCCCGTAAATACGCTTCGGAACTCCTCAAAGACCGGCTGATTGCTCATGTGGTGAATAAATCCTCATTCACGGAACAATGCTACTATGTTTTCGGAGAGGACTGCCAAGAAATCCTAAAACTTCGAAATGAAGATGGTACCCCACGAACGGACCTCATGCCTCAGCCCCCAATGCATCCACCGAAGCCCATCCCCGGCCACAGCGCTTTCGGCTGGACACAGGCTAGATCAACGGTAAGGATTTGGATTACGGTAGTGCGGGAAATGGATATGGTAGAAGTTTTTGAAATGGAAGGGATTTTGGGAAAATTAGAAAGTGGAGATTTTGGATTTTGACTTGAAATGAGGTTTAGAAGAGGGTAGATGATTTTTTGAAAAGTTTGGGTTACGGTAATCGAAGTTGGGATACGGTAGAATTGTTGGAATTGAGCGGATAAATGAAGAGTTTAGGTTATAAAAATTGTATATTAGGGCTTTATATGAGCCTGAGTATAGAGTATGACCATTTTTGAAATTTTTTTTTGGGTTACGGTAGTCGATTTTTTACTGTAGAAAATTTTAAAATTTCTGGAAAATATAGGTAAATTTGGTCGTTAAAATATCGGATAGACTGGTAAATACTATTTGAATAGTGAATTGAGTGTTTTAAGGAATTTTTTTTTTGCGTTGTGCTAGTATAATTTTTGTGTCGAAGTAATAAAATTTTGAGAAATCGGAGATTTTTGACAAGTTTTTTTATATAAAATAAGTTTGAAACTGAAGAAAATATGTTTTCAGGGTGATTACGCCTCAATGCCAGTCTCGCCGTACCCAGGGAATGGCCCATTCATCCCCACGAACTCCTTGAATCAGCCCCTGAACAAACATGGAGACATCCATAGCCAGGCCAGCGGAAATTCGAATGATGGATCGAGTTCCTCGGATCAGAGGAGAAAGTAAGTGATAATTAGATGGTTAAGAGTCCTAGGAATGTTTGAAAAATTTTTTGGGGGGCGATGTTAGAGAAATTTGGATATTATTTTAGGTATTTTGTGGGTAAAGTTGGTCAGAAAAGTTGTGAAAACGTAATTTTTTGGTGTAAAAATTGTTGTAGAAATTCTTGAAGGAGTCTAGGTTTTGATTTGAGTTATCTGCCATTTTTTGTTTTCTTTTTAGGACCGATTTTTTTTTGATGATTGCACGGTGCGGCGAGAAATTTTTGTCTTTGCACTGTGCAGATTTTTAGAGTTGAAGTTAATGTAAAATGTTTGCTTCTATGAGGTGTAAAATTAAATTTTTGAGTTCTGGAGAGAATTTGAGATGGTTATTTTGCGATTTGAAGACCTAAAATACGATTTTTCTTTTTTGAAATTAAAATTTTTTTTTAATTTTTGAAATTTGCAAAATTTTTAGTGAAGCAAGATTAAATGAGAGGTATAGAGAGATTTTTTTGACAGTTATTGAGGGGTTTTGACGTCTAAAATAAAAATTTTTACTCGAGTTTTGATTTTTTTTTTTTATTTTTTTTTCATTTTTTAAAAATTTTTTTGATGATTTTTTTTGAATAATATCCTTATCGTTTCAGACCCCTACTCCCGGCCGCACCACCCCTCCCAATGGGCCTGAACCCCCTCTATCAGCAGGGTCCCCAGCCCCCACCAAGCCAGCCGCCTCCGCTGCCCCCATTCGAAGCCCGTGACCCCTCCTCCCTCAAGCTGGACGACCTCGGCTCCAACCAACAACTCCAGGCCCTCGTCAGTCAAGGCTTCACCGTCGACCATTTGTAGCGCCTTAACATATTAAATTAATAATATATTGTCCAATCTTGTCCAAACACTTGCCATAAATTCGATTTTTCAGCTATTTTTGAAAATTTTTTTGAAGAAAAAAGAAAATTTAAGAGATTGTAAAATACGTTTGGCCAAATATAGTTAATTTAAATTTGATTTTCCTCAGAAATCACAAGTTTTCAAAAAAAATTTTTTTTGTCATGGATAATATAATTTATTGAAATACACATGGAAAAAGCCCCAAAATCAATAGGAAAATTGGTTCCAGACTTGAGAAAAGACTGTGGGAAGAGTTACACATGTGTTTCTCGGAGCAAATCTCGCATTTTCCTTCTTCTCCGAAGCTGGAACAAACGGATTTGGCCTGAAAAAGTTGATTTTAGATGGGAAATTGATATTTTCAGAGGCAAAAAGTGGTTAAAAAACATTTTTTTTGTCGGTTAAAAAAAATTTTTAAGTCAAAATAGTAATGTAATTTTAAATGTAAAATACGGTTTTCTTTGTCTCACTTTTTATAAAAAAAAAAAAAAAAAAAAAAAAAAATTTTGAGATAAGGTAAAAAAATAAAAAAATTACCTGCTGGCAACTTTCGTTCCGCCTGGAATGCCCTCCGGGCAATCCACAGCCTCTGGCGACAAATTCGGCCGCATCCTCTCCTAGACATTCAAACCGAAAACATTCCACGACTTCTGGAGCACACTGGATCGGAGTGTATTCAACGCCCCCTTGAAGGCACCAAATAGCCTGCGAGATGGCTGGAATAGTCATATATAATATTTAAATGTCAATAAAATCTTCAAAAACAACAAAATTTATGGTTGATCTTGGAACATGACAAAAATATTACATATATCTACCGTAATATAATATATATTTATAATAGAAGGAATAGTGCAAAATGGGCAATTTTTAGAACTGCTCTTAATCTTAACGGAATGGTACACGTCAAACTGAGATAGGCTAAAACGGTCCGGTAAATAGGTTGGCAATGCGCCAAAAAAGACTCGAAAAAACTTTTATTGGGGGAAGAAATGGGGATTTTTGAGGGCGAGAGAGTACGGGTTTGCGCGTCTTTTTCTCCGACTTCTCTGTGAAATCAAGACGAAGTGTAAAAAACCGGCAGCGAAGGGTCTATTCCGGTCGCTTATATCTTACAGGGAAAGTACTCCAAGTGCGACGCTCAGATTTTGATGAGACTTGGCACAAATTTAGAATGATTTTTTCTAAGAAATATGCGAGAATCCTAGCTCGCGCTTTGCAGAAACAACCGAGATTTTTAGATTGAAAGTTGGCGAAAATTTAGGACTTTTTGCCGAATTTGGGCACGAAAAGTTTCATACCTATTTCTACTATAGAGGTTAATGTTTCCACAAAAAATCAATTTTTTCCACACGAAACCGCCAAAGTTATGGCCAAAAAGCGTTTTTCTCTCTGACCGCTATCCATGTTTAGCGTGCTCTCTCGGCGACAAAAATCGTTCGATATCTCGGCGGCGCCCGCAAAGCGCGAGCTAAAACTTTCAGGAATTGATATTTAGTCCATACCCGACGTGTGTGCAAAATTTAAAGAAAATCTGAGCGTCGCATTTGCAGTACTTCCCTTGTTAGAAAAAATTAATTTATATTTATGTTTTTAAAAGTTTTGTGAAAATCTGAAGGGTTTACCTTGTATTTTTTTTTTCAAAAGTAAAAAACTCGCTTACTTGAAAAGCAACCAATTAGCAGGAAAATTACAGTAATCCAGCTCGCCATGACACTGTTAAATATTGTAAAAATTTGTAAAATACGCCCTTTGTCTTCTACGGACGATAGTTGAAAATATTAGTCCGATTAGCCGAATATTTTCTTTCTAAACTTTCATGAAATTGATGCGCGACACTTGAGGAGACGAAAAAATGTTTGCCCTAAAGTCTGCACTTCTGTTTTTCGTTGAGTAGGCCAAAAATTAAAAGCGCAAACAAAAGCCGGGCCTTCGGTTTGAGCTAATCCGAAAACGCGTCGTTTCTGGAGAAGAAAGCTGCGAGAAAATTGCAACAGAATTAACAAAAAAGTTGTTTTTGAAATAAAACAGCAGAAATTAATCTTTGCAAGTTTGCAAAGAACAATGGGTAGGTAAATAAGTGAGATTTACTTACAGGGGAATTACTCCAAGTGCGACGCTCAGATTTTGATGAAACTTGGCCCAATTTAGAATAATTTTTTCTAAGATATATGCGAGAATTCTAGCTCGCGCTTTGCAGAAACAACCGAGATTTTTAGATCAAAAGTCGGCGAAAATTTTGGACTTTTTGCCGAATTTTGGCTCGAAAAGTTTCATGCCTATTTCAACCGTAAAGGATAATGTTTCTACAAAAAATCAAATTTTTCCGCACAAAACTGCCAAAGTTATGGCCAAAAAGGTGTTTTCTCTCTGACCGCTCTCCACGTTTAGTGTACTCTCTCAGCGGCAAAAATCGTTCGATATCTCGGTGGCGCCCGCAAAGCGCGAGCTAAAACTTTCAGGAATTGATATCTAGTTCATACCCGACGTGTGTGCAAAATTAAAGAAAATCTAAGAGTCGCACTTGGAATACGTCCCCTGTTAATATACCTTTTTTCAGATTGCAAAAAAAATACTTTTTAAATTTCGTAAAATATGCAGTTTTTTGTTTGTGGAATAAAATAAATATTTATAATTAGGCTTGTCATAAAGATACGACAATTCATTGAAGTGAATTGCTGGATCACTGATCGAAACTTTTGAGGAATTGATATGAAAGCTAGAATAAATCGGGATGTCATTCAAGGTTTTTTGCAAATACATTGGGGGACCTGATACAGTGGCAAAAAACGTACCATTTTGTATCCGGGAAGTATCAAAAATGTGGCAAAATGCTTCCCTTTCCGAGAGAAAAAACCTCGTTTTGAAGGGCGGGTTTCCCTCGCGCTTTTGAAATCGGATTTTTTTCACTTGGAAAGGGAAGCATTTTGCCACATTTTTGAGACTTCCCGGATGCAGAATGGTACGTTTTTTGCCACTGGATCAGATCCCTCACCAGTTTTTTCCGATCCCACTAACATATAAAAAAAATCTTAGATTCATGTAAAATACGCTGAATTGTGGACCTCGGTTTGCAGTACTCTTAGACTTTCGCATTCTGCTTTCCGAACTTCCAATATGAAAATTTCAAAAATTGCTCGCAAAGAAATTTTACCCAAATCAAATGCATGTCGTTTCATGTTTTTGTAAAATTTTAAGGTTGTATCAGTCTGTCGGGAAAATAATGAACACAATATCGCACCCAAAATCGCATATCTGCCGAGAAAGTGAACTGTGCCGCATCAAAATCAAATTGCTTTTAACTTCAGCGACGCCTTTTGGCCCAACGACATTGTGCTCATTATTTTCCCGACAGACTGGGCACAAAGTGCATTGCCCTTTAATTCCAGACTGATATTTGCCTTTCAAAAGAATTTTTCCTTCATCATGATGTTCTTTGCGTTCCAATTTCACCGCCCATTCTAATAGAATGATAATCAACAACATAGTATTAGTTTGTCGGGAAAATAATGAGCATTCTGTCGCATTAAAATCATCAAAAATCGCCGCCGAGGAAATGGGTCGCATCGAAATCAAGCGCTTGAATTGCACGGTCGACATACTTCTTTGAAAATAATTTTCTTTTTCATCAAGATGCTGTATATGTTAACTACACATTTCTCTGTCCATTCTAATCAGTCCGTCGGGAAAATAATGCGTCACTGAAGTAAAAAGCAGCTTGATTTTGCCGCGACGCATTTCATTTTCTCAGCGCTGATGCGATTTTCGATGCGACAGAGTGTTCATTATTTTCCCGACAGACCGATAGAATAATGATCAACAACATGGTAGACGAATCTTCCCACGTTTTCCCCCACCGTGTTTACACCTTTGTCTCCATCGCTTTACACTCCATTTTCCCTCCAACTCCACACGCGATTCCCATCGCGAGTAATTAACCCGGCGGTATCCAATTACTTGCCGCAGTTTGGGCGTCATGGGAACCGGAGCGAAGCGAAGGTACCTGTGAGGGATTAATTGGGTCGTGGATGGCCATACACCTGCCCGAGGTGTTGTGCTGAATGCCACAGACGAAAACATGGCCGTGGATTTCGGGGGTATTATGGAATGTGAAATGGAAGGGATACGGTAGAAAATTGTGGGGTTGCTTTGGAATTTTCGAAAGTTTTTTGTAATTTTTTATAATTTCAGTATGCGGAGCTTGGATTTTCGCTGAAAATTTTGAAAACCATGTTCAACCTGTAATTGAAATTTGCAGATTTTAACGGTGTAATTAGAGGGTTTTTGTCAATAAAACGATCCGAATTCTGTGGTTTTTCCTAGACCAAATTTCATTCAGTTTTTGAAGGGAATTTGGCATACGCTTTCAGAACGAACCGAGATTTTTATGTCAAAAGTTGGGAAAAAGTCGAAATTTTTTACGAGTTTTATCACCAAAAATTTAAAAACTTATTTCCACCGGAAAGGATGACGTTTTTCCAACAAGTTAGTTTTTTCCTAGCAGATTTTTTGGTTGTTAAAAGTCTACCCTCTAATCTATGACATAGGCCACCAATCAATCCCCAAAAATTTTAGCTCGCGCTTTGCAGAAACACCCAAGATATTCAACGACTTTTGTGGCCGAGAGAGTACGTAAAACGCGCAGAGCGGTCCGAGAAAAACACTTTTTGGCCTTTTCTTCGCCAGTTTCACGCGAAAAAAATGCATTAGAGTTAGCATGGCTCAGGGGTGCACATTTCCAAAATTTCAAGGCTCGGTTTTTTGAAATTTCGAAATTAAATAAATATAAGGGAAGTACCCCAAGTCCAACGCCCAGATTTTCGCTAAATTTTGCGCACACCTCCGACATGGGTCACGTATCAATTCCTAAAAGATTTAGCTTGCGCTTTTCAGGGGCAGCCGAGATATTCAACGACTTTTGTGGCCGAGAGAGTACGCAAAACGCGGAGAGCGGTCCGAGAAAGACACTTTTTGGCTATTTCTTTCCTAGTTTCATGCGGAAAAAATTATTTTTTTTTTGTGAAAACATCATCCTCTACGGTAGAAATAGACATGACACTGCCATATTTTTTCCAATTTTTAAAAAATAATTAAGAAATGATGTTAATTCTCAATTTTTGTCGATAAAAATTCAAAATTTTTATGCTTTAAAATTTCTTTTTAATTTCCCATTTATTAACAAACAAATATCAAAAAACATCTTTAATTAAAAAATCTCGTTTTTGGAGGCGGATCAATATTTTCGCACGCAACCAAAATACCAAAAAAAAGACATTACAACCTAATGGCCAATTTACTTTACTCTCCGCCCGCAACTTCACTGGTTATCACGAGATTTTGCCCTGCGGTATTTACGAATTTCCGAGAAAATTAATTGTTTTAAAAACTTGAAATTAAAGCGTGCTATTTTGTCAAGTTCACTATGATGATAGCTTGATAATTTGAGTGTTTTCTCAAGGCGTATTTTAAAATTTTTTAATTAAAAAATATATTTTTTTATTTTTAGTTGTCCCCAAATTTCCATCAAAAATTCTAAATTTACAGCGCTTCCAAATGTCCACTTCTGCGAACCCTTGTCCTCAAGAGACCATTTTTCCCGTTTGATTTTGACGAGATGAATTTGTTTTGAAATTTATCGTTTCATCCCTAAATATAACCCTACCCTCTAAAGGTTCTGTTCTTTGTTTTCTTGAGGGGAAATGTTGCTGTTTTACTGGTAAAAAAGGAATAGTTTTATATCGTTCCGTTTTTCTTAAAAGCGATGTTCTTGAGGCTTACAGTTACACCTGCATATTCAAAAAGGTCAAGGAGAAACCCAGTGTTTATTTGTCCCTTTGCCAATTTGACGTGAAAAAAATTGATTTACATAAAAGTCATCATCTCCGGTACAGTGGTGGACCTGATCTAGTGGCAAAAAACGTACCATTTTGCAGCCGGGAACTATCGAAAATATAGCAAAATACCTCCTTGTCTAACTAAAAAGCCCTGTTTTGAAGAGCGCCTCACAAAAACAGCGGGCCCGCTTTTGAAATCGTTGAAATCGGATGTGTTTTCACATGGAGAGGGAGGTATTTTGCTGCCTTTTTAATACCTCCCGGATTCAAAATGGTACGCTTTAGGCCACTGTAGATATGTTTATAAACAAGAACTTTTCATGGATAAGCTCGTAAAAAATTTTGGATTTTTTTCGAACTAAACATCATGGCTATTTCAGCAAACCGTGTTGAATTCAACAAATTCTCGAAGTCGACCTGATACTTTTCATGTCAAAATATAATTAAAAAAACGAAAAAATTTTTGCACAAACTGCTTTTTTCAAGTTATTATTAATAATTTTGCCGCGCATGAAAACGATTTCCACATTTTGTTCGGCTATTACAAATTTTACGGTGTATACATATTTACATTTACATCTTGCATAATCGAGTTTTGTTTCAGGAAAAGCGTTTTCCCCATGCTCTATAAGCAGGTGACTTTTTTTGTTTTCTCAACAAGAACCCAAACTTTTGGTCGTTTTGGGAAATGCTAATAATCGGGAAGTAATTTGCCCAATAATTTTAATGAGCTCAGAGTTATCGACAACACTACTAAAAAGTCTCTTTTTCAATTGCCTGGGGGAAAAGGTAGGCTAATTATCAGTTCAGACAAGTAACTATATACTAGGCTTTCCATAAAGTGCGTGTCAGTCTGTCGGGAAAATAATGAGATCGTT